TAAATCAAAAGCTTATTATGAAGTTATTTCCTCTCTCTCAGTAACTCAGATCAGGCGGGGTTGCCCGATGTGACATCCATTCTTTATCTTGGTGACAGAATAATGTGAACACTGGCAATAATGAGATCTGGAGAATGCTCCTGGTTGGAGGGGTGATTTAATCCTGGGTTTGTGGGCTAAAGCCGTTTTCAGTTAGGACGTGGTATGCGCTGCGCTTGCTGCGGGGTGGTGGGGTGGTGGGCGCAGAACAGGGGATGAGGGCGCACACGCGCAAATCACGCACATGTTGAGCACCAGTTGCTAAGCGACCAAAAAGCTTTCCAATGGATGGTTACCAGTTATTAACACATTTTTCAATGCAAGATGTATCAATCTACATGTCAGTGAAAAGCTCTGGCTTTACTTGTATTGATGAAGAGGAGGAGACGAGCTGGAGCAAAGGTGTGGGTCCACCAAAATCAGCTTCTCCTCCATTTTCTTTGTGGTCTGTCAGGTTCTCTTCCACTCACAGAGCGCAGCGCCCAAGTCAAACTTTTAACTTCTAAACTTCATCGCGCAAGTGACAGGACCCGCGACCTTGCGCTGCGCTCAGTTCGGAGCAGCGCAGATACATGTACGTTCTTGCGCCGCCAACTCGTAGGAATGAATGGGTTTGACAGCGGAGCGCCCACCGCGTCCTATCTGAAAACGGACTGCCAGCTGGCCCTTTTTTAACACCACCACCACCACACGCAACCCGATGTACTGCATGTAGTACAGAGTCAAACCTCGCCACAGCAAATATACTGTTGACTTCAATTCATTTGTTCTTAATCACATCTTTCAAATAACACACACATTGAGCTCTAGCACTTCAGCACAACTTCAAACACTATCACCAATACAGCAGACCACACACCAGAAACTAGCATATAAAGTCTAAAACATATTAATGCTTAAAATTAAACACTGCCTTATCCTCAGAAGTGTCTTTGTCTGCTTTTCCTGACCCCAGATTCCTGATTAACTGAATTAATCAAAGAATGTCACAAAGGACAGGTCAGCATATCTGTTAAGCGTCCAGATTCACTTTGGCTCAGCAGGTATGAACCCCTGGTGTTGTGCTTACAGCCACTGCAGCAAAAGCCATCCTTCAGTGTCTTGATCGACGTGACCCTGCTGTCGATATACTTGTTTCAGTTGTTTCCATGTTATTGTCTGGCACTGGTAGTACCAGTATTCGCTCTACTTCAAGTTGAAATTTTGTGATGGCTAACTGGCTCTACAAGTAGCATCTGTTTTATCTTCCTTTTGGGAGAAGATACCTCACAGTCATGACTGTTGTAAGGTAAAAAGCATAAATACTCATTTCATATACAAAGCAATCTACTAAGAACGTGCTCACATGTATAAATGGCCAAAGCTATGTGCTTCCAGATCACTTCATGTTGCATAGTGGAAAAATTGAACCAGATTAAACTTTATTTATTTATTTTTGCACAGCATCGCTTCATTCTTGTCCTGCCACCTTGGTGCCAGGTCCTTGTGCTTGCTCCATTAAGTGAGTGAATGATGGCACTAGATGAAACATCAGAGGATTATCAATTTTGATACCAAATTTCATTGCAATCCAGCCAACAGCTGGAAAAAGAGTTCTCTCTAAACATTATTTTTCAAGCTCGCAGTGGAGCTATAGGAAAGATCACTGAGTCCTCTGTGGACTCTAAATGTCAGTACCAGTTTTTGAATACATTTTTTATATCATAAAGTAAACAAACGTACCAGAAAATGTCTTACTTACACAAATCAATGTGATAAAATACAAAAATCACCTTTGAGGAAAATGTATTTGATTTCTACTTTAAATTTTTAGTTTGGCTCATGTCCTGTCTACTAAAACTAGAAGGGGCAGGATTAATGACCTATATGGTGACAAGGCACTGGGAGGCAATTGACTTGTGGTGGCTTCACTTCTGGGAGCTGTCACATTTTCCATCTTTTGAAACTGTCTCCGGTTTGGACATAAAGCCTTTTCTTTTTTCAAGTTATAGAGCCAGTAATAAATACAACTAAAAAGAAGCCTATACAAAATGTTAATAACTTATCACAGATCATCAGAAATGTCAGGTAGAACATTAGCATGAACATGCTCAGCAAAAGCCATGGTTATCTTCTTCTTCTTCTTGTTATTATTATTAGACATGTTGTGTGAAGGACATTTTCTCTTCAAGGAGACACTGGAAGACATTTCTCAAAAATTTCATGGCCACAAAGAATAAAATAAGTAAAACTTGCTTAATATAAATAACTACACTATTTTAGAGATGTTATTTTTCATTTCTAATGACGAGGTGTGTTGTGTTGGATGGCCACATGTCCCTAGTGCTCCTAAAATCGTGGTTAAGGTCATATTGACAACATATGCTATTCTGTTTGCGCTGTTATTAACACACTAGCATTTTAAAATATATTAATGACAAAATCTTATGTTTCTACACACACTTTAATTATTCTACAGTTTGAATTTTTTTGGTAAAGTTTGGTGTTTCCTGCAAAAGTCAGTTCTGTACTATTAGGAATTTCTTGGATCCAGCATGTACGTATTGGTAGCAGTAGACACCCCCACATTACTTTCAGTATTCAGCTGTGATGGCTGCCCCTTGCTCTAGATCATGCCTCATTTCTGCAACTCTACTATGTTCTACTTACAGTAACCTTTGAGTAATGGCTCAATCAACTTCCCATCACCCTCAGTTACCTTTATATTTCACAAGAAGCCACTGGAAAGTTTGACCTTTTTTCACTTGATGTATAACTAACTTGTTTATAAACAAGCAAAAATAATTAAGAATTATGCCATAAAATCAAATATCACAGATGTGTTTTCACATTCCAGGAATGTAGGGTTGTTGTGCGCTTGAAATATTCAGTGAATATAAATGCATGCGTGCAGTCACAACTGATGCCTAGACTGGGTTGACTCATGTGGACAGCTGAAGGTTGTGTCTCAGAGGAGTTATCAGACTAGCCGAACAGCAGAGATTCTCCTGAGTGGCACTGCCAAAGGAAAGTGAATGAGGACATATTTAAGTGAGTACTGAAATTGAGCTTTAGTCCCCTGTGCTCTCTCCCATCGTTATTTTCTGTGGAGAGACTTTTGATTTCTCCACTCCAGACAGAGGGTCAGAATGTATTTACTGGAAGTGTATTCACTTTTTCCACTGAATCTCCAGTCATGGTTTTCTTTCTGAAAAACAGAACATATTTTCTTTTTCTTCCATCATCATTCTGTGTTCCTAGCAATATCATCACTGACCTTTACACTCTTTAGCACTGATTGCTTGTAAATTTTATTTTCACTCTGGATAAATGCGTCAGCTAAAGGCCAAAATATAAATGTAAATGAAACAGATACAAGACTTAAACATGAGCAGCATGTGATTACTGCTAAGAGCAGGTGGTGCTTTTGTTTGTGTGTGTGTGTGTGTGTGTGTGTGTGTGTGTGTGTGTGTGTGTGCATCAGGGGCAAGGAGTGTCAGAGGTGCCTTCTCATTCAACATCTGTCAATACAGCATTAGGGATTTGAATAAGATCCTATATATTTTATGTTTTCACATCACATGACTTATCTCACTACATCTATGTTACTTTATTCATTTGACCACTAGCATAATTTTTATTCTCAATCTTTTATAGATATCTACATTTAAATATTAATGAGATGGTACCATTTTGTGTGTGTGTGTGTGTGTGTGTGTGTGTGTGTGTGTGTGTGTGTGCGTGCAGAGCCGTGCAGAGCTCAGCTGGACATCAAATAATAGGCCTTCATCAATCTCTGTCACAGGAATAGGGAGAACACATGTTGGGTGTGTGTGTGTGTGTATGTGTGTGTGCCTTTGTATTACTTACATTATGAGGACCGAAACCGGTTAACACACTCACACTGTGGGGACTCGACCATCCTTGTGGTGACCAGAAGCTTGTCCCCACAAGGAAATCATTGAATTTTAGGGTGGCAATATGGTTTAGGGTTAGGATGGGGTTAGGTGTTAGGCAAGTAGTGGTTATGGTTAAAGTTAGGATATGTCTGGAGGAAATGAATGTAAGTCAATGTAAAGTCCCCACAAGGAATGAAAACACAGCATCTGTGTGTGTGTGCATCAGGAGGAGGGGAAATGGGGCAATGTTGTGTGTGTCTACCCTAGAGATAGAGTAAATATGGACAAAAGAAGAGTTATAGGCTTTAAAATAAAATTTGTGTGTAGCTATGGTGGTTGTGCTGGGCATCTGTCGCAATGTTTCTGTGTATGTAAAAGACTAACATATGAATAACACACATGGGTCCTTGCCATGTGTGCATGTAAAGGATGTCTTATCTGGGAAAGAAAGTAGCAGTAAAACAAATGTAATCTCTATGCGTTGCTGTTATTATTATGATATGCTCCCTCAGTTAGAGCCACAATGACACAGACATTCTGTCTGACAAAAGCCAATAAATGTTGCCTTCCTCTCTAACGTTTTCTTCTCAGGAAGACATACATTTCTGTGGAGGTTTCCATTTAAAGCTGGGGGTGTGAGAGATGTACAAAGAAATCACGCATATTGCATATATTTATTTAGCCTTTAGCTATACTGACGTTTCCCTAGGTTTTCAGACTGAATTGCCGTAAGTTTCTGGCAGAAATAGGCTGGTTAAAAGCATGAAAATGATACTTATGATAAGCTGTTTTGGGAGATATTAGGGATATAAAATATTTGTTTTGGTATAAGGTGGTTAAAATGTTATAGTACAACGTGTTATTCATAAAAAATATGATTATTATAGAAATAATATGAATCAAACTTTATAAATGTGTACTTTAACATTATAATGAATAATAACAGTTTGTTTACAGCAGTGGTATAGACGCGCCAATGGGGCGGAGTGTGGCAGGGATCTCCGCCAATCAGCATCGCCTTTTCCCTTACAAAGCGCTGACAAGGCGGAACTTTCGGCTCTGTTAGCCAATGAGTGTCTACCTTGCTGAGAGCAATGAGAAGTTAGAGGGTCGGGCTGCCAGTCTGGTCCGTAGACACGATGGATGCGATATCGTGTTTAATACTTGTTCTTCTCTTCGGGACAGGGATACCAGAAAATGCCGGTAAGCGCCCTGGAATATATATTATAGAGTTGTGTTTTGTGTTTAACGCGTATTTATCAAACTTTGTACTCTCGGATTAGAGTCTCAGTTCCGTTAGAAAAGCTCTTTGTTCAAGAAGCGTGAAGAAGCAGAGTTTGCCTAACTAAGATGGCGCAGGGTCGGCGGTCAGCCTGCTGCTGCCTGTCTTAGGAATGTTTATTGTCTGGGAAATTAGGAGCAGGGAGCTAAAACTCACGCTGGGCTCAGAAAGTGCGACGGCTACACCTCAGGATGAAAGCTGGCCTCTCTTCGGCTGGGTTTAGTCACAGCTGTTGGACTCTGATTTGCCAACAGACCACTGGAGTCCGTCTGTAGGAACACTCACCAGTTTTGCAAACACAAAGTTGGCAGCATCACTAAGTGGATGTTTACCTTTAGTCAAGCACTGCTTGTTCATTCACCCTGTGGTGGAAGCATGTCCACTCGCACGATTTTGGACACACATTTGACCTGCATAAGTTGCTGTGTTGTGTTATGGCTGTACCGTTATCTCTCGGTGCATCATGGTTGTGCCCCAGTTAAGTTAGCTGCTATTTTCTCGCCTGATACACACAGTTCTCGTTTAGCAATGTTTTAGGGAGACATCTGGACTCATTTCAAATAACTTTAGCGTTAAAGTAAACATTCCTTTCCCACTCGAGTTAACTTAATTAATTTTAGTCTGTTGGCAGTGTATCTCCTATTTTGTCTAACTAGTGTGAACGGTTGTCATCGTTAAGTTAATTTAAACTTGTTTAATAGCTGACAGATTGATTTCTACTCTGCACCAGGACTTTAGCCTGCTAAGTTAGCTTCTAGCTGCCGTCTATAGCGCTGTTTACCTACAGTACACAATTGTGACGTTTACGTTGTCGTGTTTAGCTGTGCCTCAAGGGCCTGGATAAGTGTAGTGTTTCTTGTGATGGGCGATTGCTTGTATTGTTAGTTCAGGTTCAGACATGCAGCAGAAACCGCGCTAAAACAGTGTATAGTCAAAAGGCGAGTACAGATTCTCCTAGTCCACTCGGTCTACCAGTGTACAACGAACTCGGGTAAACCAGTGTCCATTCAGAACAGCCCACCACTTCACTAAAACTCGGCTTTGGAAATAGCTTTTAGTTGACTTGTTTTAATTGCAGTGGAAGAAGTGTTTATGAAAGACAACTTCATTCGTGGTGAAAACACGGGAGCCGCTTAAGGAGCTCGGAAGAATCATGTGTGATGGGGTGTTTACTGAGTCCGATATCGCATTGCTCTGCAAGATTTGTGAATTGGGTGCAGCTTTTAGAGAATGGCACTGCTCTCCAGCCACCATCACCGCTGCTACCATTCATGCTTGGCTGCCTGTGCTGAGATTTTCATTTTGCGATGGAACTGTGGGCGTTTTTCTTTGTTTCCTTAGTCTGCACGTGATTGCAAACGGAGAAGGCTTTTCTTATAGGTACAAATAGCCTATAGCGTTGTTTATTTCTACTGACGTGCAGACGAAGATGTTTTCTTTGTGTGAAATTCCTTTGTGTGTATGGAGAGAGAGAAAGAGAGAGAGAGAGAGAGAGAGAGCCTCATCATGAGTGGAGAAGCATGCTTTTCAAACAGCATATAAAGATCTTATCGGAACCTGGCCATGCCAAAAATTACTGTCCGGTCCTCATAAACCACACAGCTGCCTCAGATGCAGACTGGTTAATAAACTGATATGTCGACTTGGGGACACACAGGAAGTGAGGGGATTCCTCTCTTTCTTCAGCAATGGAATTGTGGCATAGCTCCATGTTCGGAGCTGCATCGTTTACATCAGAAAAGAATCCCATTACACATGGATATGATTTGACACGGCATACATTTGATTTGTTTTCTGAGTGACATAAATATACAGACCGTATAAGATTGTATGTACCTTGATAAAGAGAGAGAGATCTGGTTAAATGATATCACACACTGACAGCTTTACATTGAGTGTTCAGCACCACGCCCCTGCAGCTCACACACACTTGCTTCAGCAGCATTCACATACAGCGGTGTGGTACACACACACAAGCATCCGCACACATCGGGCAGTGGGCTAAACTGGGTGGTGTCATTGTTACTCTCCTTATCCTACCAACCTCGTTCATCCTTTTACCTGAAAGGCTCTATCCCCATGCTTTGTCACTTGTTTCTCCCTCTCCTTCCATCAGCTCTCCCATCTTCCACTTGCATTTTATCTGCTTCGAGTCTTGTGCTTCTCCCCTGGCCCCAACAGGCATAGTAAGTAAATGGGCTACAGTTAGCTGGAGTGGCTGGTACAAAGGATTATTGTTGTGTCAGCACTCTGAGTCAAATGCAAGTGACTGTCCAGGGAGATTGAATCCTGATGCGGGTGGATCGGTTTAGGATGTTATTTCAGCTGTTTGTGCACCAGGGTTGCAGCTGGTAATGAAATATCCCTAGCTTTAAAGACATATATCATGCACTTGGTCCCACATTCCTACATTGTACTGATACTGACTATGAATGTTGGGGGTTTTTGCATTTTAATGCAAGAGATTAACAGGAAATGATCCAAGACATTTGCTGACAAATGTCTGACAAAATGTCTCATTGGAATATTATTTTAATTTCCATTGTGAACCTGTCATAGTGTTTTCTGTTTTTTTTGTATGAGTGTCTAAAAGTGCACTACTATCCAAACATGAACAGATTTTTGGAGTATCCTAGTTATGTGCTGTGTAGGGGCGTGATGATACATGACAGTGTATCATGACATTACATGATATTGTGTTCATACTGAGTTTCAAATGTGAAAAATCCATTTTTTTTGTTGCATATGGTATTAAACAGATACGGTATCTTTAGAGTTTGAGGCTGTTGGTCAGACAAAACATTTGAAGACTTCAGCTTGGAGTCTGGAAAATTGTGATTAGCATTTTAAGTTATCCTTTGACATTTGATAGACTAATCAATTCTCAAAATAATAGATAATTAGTGATGAAGATAATTTGTTACAGCCCCATGTGCCTGTGTGTTTCAGGTATGTCCAACAATACTACACTCAGATTAATCTTTTGTGCTTTTGTCTGCATGTAAGCATACCAAAACGTCCTTAATCTTGTCATTTTCCACTCAAAGCAAGGTTAGAACAAGTGTAAAGCATGTGGTGGGGATTGCATCCAGTCATTAAAGCTGTGAAATTTTGAAAACAAAGCAGTGAGATTCATTGCTCCACGAGTGAAATGGCGAAAAGTATTTTTCAAATGAACTGATGCATATAATAATGTAATAAGAGGTCTAGAGCCCCAGTGTAGTTGAAACCAAAGTGTACACCCCTTTAGAAAAACAGCAACAAAAGCAACACTATTACAGGAATATTCTTCCTGTAATAGTCATGGGTTTTTTCATAAATGCTGCAGTGGGAACTTTTGCTTCCTCTTTTCTGTAGGACTCAACAGATATGTTTTGTGTAATAATTTTCATACTAGCATTGGTAAAATTATCCCCTGGAGATGGCAAGAGTCAGTATTTTGCACTAACTTCATCTCTACTGTGTTCTTGCCCCTCTCTCCAGCAGCTGGAGGACATTTTTGTCAGTTGTGTAGTGTTGTTTTTCTGTGTGCTGCTGCTGTCAGTACTAGCAGTGGAGCAATGCCAGGCATGCAGGTGACTTTGGACGTTCATTGTCCCAACCCAGGGAACCATGACTAATTTGAGATGTTGTAGCCGTGCCAACGACCATTGGATTCAAAGGCTCCATATAAACTGAATGCACTATTACTCTGCTGAAAGTACAAGCCAAGACATCCCCTTCTCCTGCCTTTTCAGTAAAGCGATATACTGCTTTACTGGTGTCAGAGTGAGGTACTTTGAATTACACACAGAGGTGAGGAAGCAGCAGGAAAAGTCTTTGGAGCCTTTTCCATATTTGGTTTTGTGTGTGCGCAATAATTTGCTCTTTTTAAAAATATCTATATTCTAGACTGTCAGAAAATCAACTGACATGAATTTCACAGATGATGTTGACCACATTAACATCAGTATTCAAATGCAAAAGCATGAGCATATTTCTGAGTATTTAAAAATCAATACAGACTGCTGCATATGTGGCAAAATTTAAACTGTGGCCTATTAAAAGTGACAACATATAATGTCGGGCTGCCATATGGATTTGTTGGAATAATGAGACAGGCAGCGCATATGTATTTTGGTTGAAACAAAACAAAGTTTTTTCTTCTGAGACATGGTTACAGCCCAGTTTGAGCTTCTCTCGTCAGCTATCCACTGTGCATGTTGTTATGTTTGATGTGTTCTCACTACGCCATTAGTCCGATGTTTTGACCAAAAGAAATCTCTGAAGGTTACAGTTATTATCTCAGTAATACACTTATAGAGTAGCAAAATAGAGTAGGGCTACAATTAACTGTTGACCATACATATGGCAGTAAGTGGTGATGCTTCGTCCATCTTTATATACGCTCTATGGGCTAAACCAAAACTATGCTCAAAGCAACATTAAAGGGAGCTGTAGGCCAAACACTTTCTTAAGGCCAAAATTCCACAGTTTTAGTGAAACTATACTGTTTTAGTCTTGCAACCCTCATGAGACGTGTCATATCTGGCATTTGGAAGATGATGGTGGTGATTATTTGTTGGACTCCTCAACTCAGTTTGTCATAAATGCTTGTGTGGACATGCACTGTGTCTGGGTTAGAGCAGCTGCCAGGGTGCTGGCCGTCTAACCTTTAGGTCATGCTACTCCATATTTATAAGACCAGTGGGTTGGACAGATGTACTGCCTTTTCATTCCCTCCTATTCTCAGTATGTTAGGCCATCCATTCCTTTCTCTTTGTTTTGTAGGAACCAGAAGCTGCCTCATCTTCACTTGATCTTTATTGATCGCATCTGCCAGCAAAGAATGCTTATGTCTAAATGTTCTGCAAGTGCAACACAGGAAAACCAGTGGTGACCAAGTCTCTTACAGCCAGTTTCTTATTGTCAACACAGAATC